ACTAGATCTGCAAAGAAATCCATAGGGAAACACAAAAGAGACTTTGTTTTCCGCTTCTGCCTGAACAGGGGAACGTATGCTTCAGCCAGAAAAGGCCCACCCCATGGAACAAGGCCCATTACAACACGCACCTTCATTCCAACCTCAAGAAGGTACAAATATCCCCTTTGTTTCCACCAGCTGTAAACCACTATGCCAGTCTCCAGCCTGGCAGATGTTACAAAATCATGCCTGTGTTTTCTTTCTGAAGGCTGAGTTTACAAAAAGCAAAAATACTTCATTTTACATACAGCAGAGCAATCAGGTCATGGTTGATCAAGCATTGTCTCAAGGACAGAGGCAGTTTAAGCAGTTCCAGCACTAGCCTCTTAATCCTAGCCCTCCTGGCATCCGTTCTTTTGTGCCATTGCAACCATTTGGACAGCTAGATAGCAGGGTAAATCAAAGAGCAAGACTGCCCCCAATGCCCCCAAAAAGCAAAAAACCCCAAAACAAACCCTCAACACTTCTCTTGGTTTTGTTCATTTGTTTGTTTGTTTTCCCAGCCAGATGAATCTCCTGGTCTGGCTCACTATACATGTGCACACACTCCCATCAACACACCGAATAATAAACCAAGAGCTGGAGAGGGACAGGAAACGCATCATCAGCCAGTTTACGCACTGCCAGATCAAACTTGAAACTGCAGACTTGTTCTTCTTTAAGGAGGAAGACTGTCATTGTTTGCCTTTTTATGTTTGTGTTGCTTTTTTTAATTGATAGCTAAAATGGCAACCACATAAAAAACCACCATAGACTGAAAAATATTGGCTAACATGAGAAAGAGGAGCCGTGTACTTAGTTTTGTCTTCTTCACTATCAGAAACGTAGTGTAGAAGCATCTCTAAGAAAGATCCTCTGTTTCCAAAGGGTATCAGACTCCAAATTGCTAAAGCCACTGCATCTCTCAAATACCTTCATTCATCTGGCTTTGCTTAGAAATAAGCTTGAAAGTTAATTTTAGGCACCAGAATCGCAAGCCATTACGTGTTTTACAAGTCAGAGGGGGAAGAGTATTGAAAATAAAAACGTTATTTGGCAAAGCTGCATTTGCCAAACACGAACAAAGCAGATAAAGCAGCATAAAAGCACCGTACAGGGCATTGTAAGAAAGGAAACAAATAGTCTACCAGAAGCCCAGCAATCATAGTTCTGCATCATTTGCAGATATGAAAAAGCGATACCCAAGCCAATACAAACAGCTTTATGTAATGCTTCTGAAAAGATTTTTGACCCTCAGAGTTACAACGAAATACCTCAACTGTGCGTTATTCTTCCGTGGTATCTGCAGAACGGGACTGATCAGGGACAAAAGAGGACCTCAGGTGGCAGAAAGCAGCAGCTGCAGATTATATAACTGCTTTCAAACCACTCCTCGTTAAACAGTTCGGCTCATTGTAATTGCCCTGTCCCACGGACTCATACTATGCTCCTCGTTAAAGTGAAAAGGTTTGCTCTGTCACACTTGCTCCACAGACGTATGACTTTGACCCCAAGGGCCCTTTTGTATCACCCCACAAACAAATGTAATTTTACATACACAAGAAAAAACAAGTTTCAGGGCTGCTGGTAGCTCATATTTAAATCCTTAAATTGGAGTTACAGTTTTTTGCAGCTTCAGTTTGAAATTTTTAAAAAATTCTGCTTCGTTCATAATTAGGAAGCTCTAAGCAGCCAAGCTTATGACAACAGCTCAGAATTTCTGCCTGAACCCTGGAAGTACATCAAAACTACCAGCACCTTTGTCTGGGGCCACGAAGCTCCCTCACTGTCAGCAGAGGACCCTGAACATTTTTAGTGTTGTGTTTCAGTGAGACACGTGGGCGCTGGTCACCTGCACACCTAAGCTGCACCCAACTTTTTTCAGTAACATCAACTCCATTTCAAAACCCATAGGGTACGCCCAACTTTTGTTTAATGGGCTTGTAGCTGCGACACCCTTTTTGAAAATGGGAAACAACAATTTCAGGTCCTTCTTAGCCCCAGAGTTTTGAACTGCAGCTCCTAGGTGGCAGAGAGCTCTGTGACAACAGCCGAGCTGCTGCTCCTGAAGCTACTCTTAAAATACACTTAGAAATGCCTGAGTCAAGGCCCCAAAGCAGGAACCTAGGTAAGAGAAGACTTCAGTCCCCACCCTGCTGAAGAATCCAGTACAATTACTCTCAGAAGTTGCTCTCTTACATGTTACTCAAGAGTCCTTCTTTCTTACTCTGATACACACTGGCAGGCTCCTGATATAGTGGTGTCTCTTCCTGTGTATTCCTAGAAACCTTAACTGACCTGCACAGAATGTCAGAGAGGATGAAATTAGTCAGAATACAGAGTATTTAGAAGTCAGATATATATAATCTAGACCTTTTACCGCCAGCAAAAGTTCAAACCTTTAGAAAATAACGTCTATTTTACGCATTTTAACTTCTCAAGCTAACTCTGAATACATAAAGACATCCACAAACTTCTTCATTCATTACGTACTATCTTATGAAAGCTGAGATGAAAAGAGTCTGATTAGAAAACAGCAAGATTAGTCACATGCCTCTGCAGCAGGACCTGTTCTAGCACATTTCTTTCATAGTTTGAAACACAGTGATTGCAACCAAGAGATGTACTGCACATTTCTCTAAACCAGTCAGATACAGTGGATTAGATCAGTGTGCAGATTCAAGGACAAATAAAGTATAGTTCTAGCTTCCCAATTCTAACCGCAGTAGTAGAAACAGTATAGAAACAGTTCATCATCATAGGATTTCTTGGTCATTCTGATAAAATAATGCAAATGTCAACAAATACTTGCTACTTAATTACATTTGCATACAGTGTTTTCTGATATTAGGAATTATGAGGTATGGATCCACCAACATTAAATTATACAAGCTACTCAGGAGAACATTCAAACTTTAGATTTCGTCAATGTCTATGTGAACATTTCTAATGGGGCGAACATTTCTAAATTCTGTGAAAAGTCATTCAAGTATGCTCACAGACTTTGAAGATTACACACAGAGATGATACGTAGTCTGATCTGTTGTGCAAATCATGCTTGGGTGTCTGACTTCCTGAAAAATACCCTGATTCTACTTTTTAATTGTTAAAAAAATAAGGGGTTTTCAAGCTTTTCATGTGACTACCATTTCCTGCATCTCATACAAATAAACTGCTCACATTACAAGGCATTTGCAGAGTCAGCCTGTGGAGATTGTTAGGTAATGTGGCAAGATAATGTTATCTTTTGTACAGGCTACAGAAAGGCAAACCTGTGGATGTGCAGCAGAGCTAGCCTGAGAGCATGCTGCAAAGATGTAAGGACACTCAAGAGACACTGTGCCATGTTGGTGCCAGTGCCAGCTGCTGTTGCAGGCTGAGAGAAGGCAGAGACAGAGGCTACGGGTGTTTGCAGAAGAAAACTGCTGATAGTGCAAGAAAGTCACTCCCATCACTCCCAAAGCTAATTTACCCTGTCCTGCTGGAGAGTCCTACACAGAACAAGTTTGGAGGATTTCAAATCCTATCTAAAGGATATCTAAACCAGAATGTTTAATTAGATTTCCTTGGGCAAACACAGCACTTTTAGGCAAGAAGTAAATTAGTTCAACAATGACTGGTTAATTGTAACTAAGTCAGGCTTTCTAATACCATCCGAGATGAAGTTGTGGTGGCTATGTATTCCTCAAGCACCTTTCAAATATCCCCTGCCCACAAAGATGAGTGAAGTGTTTCACTCTCAGAAACACAGTCCTAAAAACAAGCGAGCAAAATGACAGGTGATCAGGATAAAGTGACAAGCTTGATGATGGCAGCAGTTACTTGACTCCATAGGACAAGAAATCCTGGGTAAAGACACATCCTGTATTTGCTCACATAGAGAAACAATAAAATTGAGTATGCTCAAGCTGTTCTCAAAAGCACATGGTGGAGAATTAGAGGAAGAAAACCCCCACCATTTTTTCTGCAACATGTCCTATTCCTTTCAGTTACAGTATGTTTAGGTATTACTGGAAAGACACACAGTACTAAATACCAACATCACAAATGTGGTTTCCCAGTTGAGAGGGTCATTTAAATAAAACATTTAACGTGTTTCTCACGAGCATGAAACTTCCTTTGGACAACACTGACGATGTCCTCATTGTTTAAGGGAAGCTCTACACAGATACTGAAGGATCAGGAGTTAAATGTAAAAGACATTGCCAAGAGACCCCCAGGAAAACAACATTTTACATTGTGTTACGTGTTTATTACATAGTAGATAGCTCACGACCTAGGTCAAAAAAAGCCCACTTGTATTTAGTCCCACTAAAGTGTAGTACTAGAAAAGGAAAAATGCATTTCTTTTGGTTTATTACAGTTCATTTTAAATAAAAATTACAATCAACTTTTCTCCCTTTTAGGAAACCTTGCTGTGTTGAACATGACTGTTCTTAATTCTTCCGCAGTGTGTTCACGTAAGGTCTCATAACAATAACTGTTCAGAGGTTCTTTACTCTTCCCTTTGTAAAAGCACTGCATTACCTAATGTCCTGTTAAAAAAGGAAAACCTGTAAAAGTCACCACCTTTTCTCCAATATTACGAACATCAATCATCTGCAAATTGTTCTAATAAAACTCATTTAAGAATAAAATGCGGAATAGCAGCAGATGTACATACTGTTTCAGAAAGCCAAAAACGGACACACTTCAAACACATAGTTACTGCAATCTCCCAATTAAAAACCACACTAGTCCCACTCCTATTTGGAAAAATCTAAGGCCAAACTTTTTATTGCAATAGCAGCAGGACTGCAAAGTGCAGCATATATCAACAGGTTACCTACACTACCACGTTATTTTGCTTTGCCTCAGCCATCAAAGAAGCATGGAGGTCAGCTGAAATCCCTTGCTCATCACTGTTCCAATGAGCTCCCAGGAAAGGATAGGGGTCATGCCTGGACCCTAAAGAAAAGGTGGATGGCTACATTCAACTCTGAAACAGCACAATACAGGATACCTTCAAAAAAGCTGAAGCAGTTATTGCCAAAGTGAGTTCCCACCCTTGCTTTGCTGGGTACAAAGCAGGGATCTGGCCCAGGTAGATACCAATTTATCAAAAGGCATGTGACCTCCCTCTCTCACAGTGATGAGAGCTCATTAAAGAAAAGTCACCAACTATTACACAGACATTTACAGTGTTATGCAGCATGGGAGTTGCTCATCCTTAAACAATGCTGTCTTTTTGGCTGGCAATTCAGTTTCAAGCAACAAACCTTTCTTGTTGGTCCCAATGATAGGTTTTTTCCTCATTCTAATTTGTCTGCTTAAAATATTTAGGAGTGCTCATATGGAAGTGATGAATACGCTCATAATTATGTCCATCTTTATAAGATCCAAACCTACAAAAAATATTCAACAAAGCAAAACCATTACAAAATGTTTTAACCCATGAAATTAAATCATATACTTACTACAGTGTAATTAATACAGAACTTCTGAATGTTCTAGATAGTTTATTTCAGAAAGAGGCCACAACCCTACTTACATATAAATCACAATCTATGTACGCTATCTGACTAGAGGTCTTTGAGTACAATGTAAACATTTAATTACACTGATTGGATTAATGCCATAGGCACTCTGTAAATGGAACTCCAGCTGACAAAGGTGAGCGGTGCATTTCTCTAGTTAAATCCTATGCTCTTTAAGTTTTTTCTACCGACTTCAATGGAGATATAATTTAACTCCCCATAGTATCCAAATAGTCAACCCTATTCTTAATATTGCACATCTCACTTTTGAAAATTATGGTGAAAACTGTAATTTTTCATGCCATATTTAAATCTGAAAGTTTTGACTACTGACTATTATGGTGGATAGATTTGCAAAAGTAAAATGTAGTACTTCCTCAAAATATCAGCGCTAACTAACATTTAAGAGCAGTGCCGTTGTATTTCAGAAGAACGATAGCTAATTGCAAAAAGTTAAACTTCTAACGGGTATAAATTTTCTGCTTGTAGGCAGACATAAAAGAAACAAGAAAAATATTCTGCACTGAAATCAACTGTGAAAAATCTGAATGTGAATGCCAACTTTAGGCAAGTTTCATCATGTGGAAAAAACTGGCCAAAGTCCTGCTTAGACAGGAAGCCAGTGACCGAGTAGTAAATAAAAAGTGAGTAAGTTCAACTGTTAGGTGTATATAAGAAATTAATATATTCTGTATTATGCATGTTAGAGGTAGTAAATATGGCATTGCTGGAAATTGTCTTTCTGTCGCAACCATCCATCTCAAACTTCATGACTATCCCACTGATATTCAGTGCAGAATAAATACCTTTCTCCATATTTCTCTTTTTCTTATGCAATGCCAGTGGAAAAATGACAGCATTCTAGAATTAAACAACTTTTTATGTAAAAAACTAGCCCTTTT